AGATTTTGTCCATGATTTGAATCCTTTTTTTCAAAGACTCATCAACATAACATTGTGTCGAGATAACCCAAAAATATTTCAAATGCATTTTAAAAGTAATAAAGTCAAGTATTTGTTAAATATGTAATTAGCTTGACATAATTGAGCGATAAGTTTAAGCTAATAACAGCCAAAAAAATCAAAGCATGCAATATTTATGAGACAACAATATGTGCATATTGTTGTAATTCATAAATTGTTCTAATAAATAACATTCATAAGTTAATCCTCATAAAAGCATACAAAAAGATAAATAAAATTCCTCCAACATATTTGTAAATGTATTGAAAATTTAAAATTGTTCATGTTAATTTTTTTTTCGTTGATCATTCCTTCTCGACCTTTATCTTCTTTTTTGGTAATTCAAGATTGCATCATCGTCTTCAATGTTGATTGTGTTGTCTTCTTGGAGTTGAATTTCTTGTGCTATTATCTTTCCTTATGTCCGTTCATCCTTTGAGTTTTCATCTAACTTCACAAGGAATGTGTATGTCTTTCCAATGTTTAGCACAAATTTTTGGAATAACGAACTCTGATTATTTTTCTGTTTTAATTAGGAAACAATTAATTAATTATACATGAAACATATGGTTTTATATGTTTAAAATATAATAAAGTAAGAAGTTACCTCTTTTATATCAGCCATGAATTTTTGTGCATCCTATAAGAGTTTCTGCTGCATCAAAAAGTGTCACTCTTGCAGTATCCGTCTTATCTTCATCTATGATTTTAACTGCATAGCTACATTTTGTATTATCATTGTGCATCACATGATATTTTCATAATTAATCAATAGTCTACTGTAATAATACACAGAAATATTAAAAACTTTCTAGAAGGTTTTACAGTTTCTGCAAAGTTTCTGCAAAGTATCTGCAAAGTATTTGTTAAAACGAAAATAAAAGATACATTGCCAGTTTCTGCAAAGTTGGAACCAACAAAAATGCAAGAAAATCGGAGGAAGGATGAGTAACCTTGGCTTCATACGGCTCCTCTTTGGTTAAAAATAAATGTAAGGACTTGCTCGATATTATCTCCATCTTTATTTAATTTAGATAGTAAATACAATAAATATATATCGGGTAGCCAAAAATTAGACCAATGAAATTCCGTCTGCTAGAATCAAAAATGCGCTTTCGAATTATATCAATTAGTTTTCTATGATATAAAGGTTTATATCACAAAACATGAAAAAACATATAAATATAAATAAAGTACATAAGTTCCTAAAGAAAAGCAATACAATATAATTCTACATTTCTACAATAAGCACTATAAACTATATTGACAGACTTTATAATTAGATATGTTTTGAATTCAAGCCTAAGAATAAACCATCCAACACCCAAGTAGTAAATGACGATGCCTTGAGGATGCTAAGAACATCTCTTTAGAATTGAAAGTTTAGCATTTAACATATATTTAAACTAAATAAAAGCATGCATACCAAAAAATAATTTCTGTTTTCTATTTCAATTTAATCAATAAATATATAATCCAATAAACCAACTTCATTTTTTAAAAAACATTAATATTTACCTAGATAGATGGGAAAATCAACAACCTCCAAATACTTATTCCTGTAACATAAAAGAAAAAAATTAGAAAAATATCAATTACCATAAAAACTAATTGTAGTGCAAGAAAATAAACTAAATTCAAATTCAAGAATTAAATCTCATGCAACAATCCTACTATAGCAGTTTTAAGTAGATTTTGTTTGCGGTTTCTCCGGTAAAGACTGGATTCAATTAATTTAACCTTCATTTGAATTTCCTATCTTTTTTTAGGACTTTGTTTTGCTCTTAATTTCTTTGAATTTGTAAGACTGGGTCATATCTTTTTTGTGTTTTCATTTGATGGAGCTTTCTTGATTTATGCAAAGCATAATGAAAATGGGTTTGCAGTAGTGACATAAACAGAGATTATATTACATGTACAGCATATTATTATAGAGTAATAATTGTATAATTTAGTATATATAGCACATATATATGTGTCATTATAGAAGTGTTAATATGGATAAAGGATTCATGCACAATTCTAACTATCTCATCAAATTCCCCAAACTTTGCATAAGCTTTCATAAGGGCGGAAACAATTTCAATGCTGGGCTTATATGAACTACTTATGATCTCACCCCATAAAGCTTGGGCATTGGAAAATTTTTCATTTTGGGCATAATAAAGCATCATAGCACAAAGAGAAGCGCAGTTGTGCCGAAAGCTCAAAGCTTTCGTCTCCCAGTGCACTTTTGCGAGCTGAGTGTCGGTAAAGTCAAACAAAATCGATTTTAATTGTACTTTGACCTCACAAGTCGACAATTAAAATAGAGGAGAAAGGGAGATAGTACCTTGATAAAGGAGAATAAAAAGTTTTTCAATACCAAACTCCAAAGCTGCAGGCCGATGAGAGATAGATGATGGCAAATGTGAGAACTTAGGAGATGGCGGAGGCGTTGCGTTGATGATGATGACAATAGTAATCATCTTGGGCAATTGATGGCTTAAGATCGTGGGACGACGCTGGCTGAGGAGAAGCGTTACCGGAGAGAAGGCGTAACCGACGGGGATATTCTAGGGCTTTGGATTTCTAAAGAGAGGAGAAACGATGAAAGGAGAAGTGAAAAGAATAGCAGCCGACCCTTTTTGCGGATAGCCCCCTCTCAAAATGTAAAGGAGGCGGAACCATTTTAGACATATATTTATTTATTATATAAATATAAAAACAAAGAAGGTGTTATACGAATAAATCTCCTCAAAAGCACTAAACTCGTGGGATTGAAACCGTCGACGCCAAACTCGTGCGAGTTTTATTATTTATTATAATTTATTAATTTATTAAATTAATTTATTAAATAATCAATATTTAATAATTTATTAAATAATTTCATAAATTATTTATTATATCAAATTATTTATTACTGCTCACATTAACTAATTCCCTTTTAACATGTCATTGAATGCAGAGGGATAACTTTGGTATATTTAAATTTGTTGAAGGGCAATTTAGGGTAGGTAAAGTTTTTCATGAACTCCCTCTTTTAAAGGGTAAATAGATTTGTAGATACTATCAAATGGTATCAATAGTAATGTTGAGAGGAAAATAACCTTAGATCAGTGTAGTTGCTCAAGCCTCTGCATACCGCCTTTGAGGGGCCAGCTGTAGTTTTTTCATTAGAGAGATGGCTTTTAAATAATAATTGCTACAACTTGTTTTGACTGAAAAAGTGAGTTCTAAAGGGAGGGAAAAGAGAAAAGGAAACTAGGAGAACAATTGAGGTAATGCTTCATATGGTGGAATTTTGACTTGGGGGAACTTGGATTTGGGCCGCGGATTTGAAATCTAGAGTATTTCTCTAGTTTGGGCTCTAATTCGGGTTAAGATTTCAAATCAAATCATTTTAGAGAAATGTGTTTGATGAAAGCCTAAAAACTTGTATTTCTTATTTGATTGCCATTCTAGTCCTTTCTGGTATTTATTAAATCCGGCGACGCGCCGCCCCCGGCCCCACCCACCTAGACCTGATGATCTAGGATTCAAGTTGTGATGCTTCCCGCGTCTGCAAGCGATGAAAAGCCCTGATAGTACAGGCGACTACTTACTACTCGATGGTGCACACCCATCTCATCATCGGTGGTTTATGTTATCTGAACATTATTTTAACTAATTATTTCTAATTTTTTAATGATTCTATTATGAATAGGCATTAGAGTTTGGTGATTTTGATGGATTCTTAGCTAATTCGAGTAAGGAGAGCTTCTCTCATGTCAAAGGCACAACCCTTTTAGTTTCTTTTTATTTTATTGAGAGTTTTTTTATTTTATTGTGATTTTTGTTTATTTTTGACTGTGTTAGCCAGACCATTTTTAATTTGCACTTTAGTTAGATGGTTAATTATTGTATTCAAATGAAAGAAAGAAATAATTAGTTGTAAATAAGATGGATATATATGAAAATTTTCTGTGTAGGAGAGCTTTGATTTGCTTGTAGTAGATCTTACATGAGACTTTTATTTTATATATACACATATAGGTTGGTGTAGTATTTGAAACATGCCTCTTTTAGAACTCTAGTTTGACAGTGAAATATAATGTATATATAGAATATTGTTGCAGGACATGCTAGACCTTTTTTTTTTTTCGGGTATGGATATGGATGGGATTGCTTGACCCATTTATGGCTGACTTAAGTCGGGTCAAATCCGGGTTTTACCCAACCCCGGCTAATCCAACCCGGTACCATCAATTCTGGCATCCGCCAAAAACCAAAAGGAGAAGTTCACAGTTCACTGCACCTTTCCCTTCCTGATGAGTAGCAAACTTTAATCAAACTGTGGATGACAGCATCATGGGCATTTTATAATCTTGTCGGGAAGCAACTTGCTGCAATTTGTAGTGCTATGTCCACTGATATATAACCTATAACTATGGGAAGACCAATAGCTATGTTGAAGCTTTTTGAGAAGGGATTAGCGCTATAAATTGTTGTTTTGTGCCATTTTTTATGTTGGTTTTGGGACAAATAGTAGAGGATGGATGAGGGAAACCTCACTTGTCACATGCAAAGTCTGTCCTTATAATCGTATCCCAAGTCCAAGCAAACTAAAGGCTCCGTTTTGATAACATGTTGTTTTTCATATTGTGTTTTTGTAAAAAAAATACAATGGTGTTGTGTTTTCTTCTAAAATATTTTTAAAATACTATGCTAAGTATTTTTGGACAATAATTATTTGTCTCACTAGTAGAAAAATGAGTAAGATACACGGAGCAAACTAAACGGAATTATTTTCCGTCTACTATGAGTCAAACTAGACGGAAAAAATTCCAACTAGATTTGGATCTGTTTATTTTAAAACAATCTAGAAGGAACTAAAAAAACACTAACTATTCCCGTGTAGATTGATTAAAAAAAAACCCATTAACTATTAACCCCCTCTCCCCCTACCTG